CCGGTATGTACCGGTAATCTTGTCCCCCGATTACGCATGTATACGTAACGCGAAGATATTGCTTTTACAGTAAACAGGCTGACGTAAAAAAGACAAACGATTCAACATAATGTGCACGAAAGTAAATAAATCTCGCATCTCGTCAAAGCGCTGGACGCGCCACGTTTCTCCCCGGAGCGAATATTTCGTTTGCTCGATTCGGTGATGTTCTAACAAAGAGCCCGGGGGAGGCAAGATCGCCCGTGTCGAAGGCCTCGACGAGACCTTCCGGAGTGTGCTCTGTCGTAGATCTCTCCTCGGCGACGACCGGTCTCTGTGAACGGGCGACTCTCTCTTCAACGACTTGAAATTTTGATGCATGTGGACCAAAAGGAAATCATAAAGCGATGTTGAAGTAGCGTAAATTATTCTTTCGACTATGAGGATAAACGAGGGTTTTCCTGACTTTTCGTTTTCCTTTTTTTAATCCCTTTTCTTGCTTCCTCTCTCTTTCTCTTTCTTCATCTGTGCTGCCTATCTGTTACTTTTCTCTTTGCTGTATTCTTGCGCTTCGTTGTTTGCGATGAATTTTCGCCTCTCTCTCTCTCTCTCTCTCTCTCTCTCTCTTTTTCCTCTCTCACTTTCTATCTTTCCTGTTTTCGTTCTTCTGCTGTTACTGCTTTTATATACTGCGATCTATTGCTGCGTGGTGTGCTGTATGTCGGTTTCTCATGTACTGTGCGAACGTGCGGTTTTTCTCTTGGCACTTCCTTCCGTTTCGCAATTTCTCTCTCTCTCTCTCTCTCTCTTTTTTTTTTCATTTTTTTTCTTTACAAGCTTTAATACAAATCTCTTTCTCTCACTATCACTTTTTTTTTATCTCTCTCGTCGTTTAAATATTTACGCTTCATAAATAATCGCGCGTCGGGCGCGAGTCCGCGGGCGAGGTTAAGGGTAACACACGATAGGGTGTGGGGTCCCTCGCATAAAACTGCGAGGTTCCCGTACCGGGCGACGACTCGACGACCTCGCCGAGCGGAGCCGCGACCGTCGTATCTTCGAAAAAAATATATTACTAAATATATTATACAAATTTAACCCCGCTAAAAAATCTCCTTTTTGTCACGATCCCAAAAAGCGAGCGAGCGCAGCGAAAAAAGCTGCGCGTCGCGCCCTGATTAGTCCCTCGATTAATCTCTAATCCTTTCTCTATCTTTCTCTCTTTCTCTCACGCGTCCCTTTCCGTCTTTTCTGTCTCTTCTATAACGTTAACTTATCTGTTCTCCCGCGAAAAACACTCCGCTTCGCCTCTCCCCTCCTCTCCTCTCCTCTCTCCCTTTCTTATCTTACATTAAAAAGAAATGTTTTTCGCCTACCCCTCTCTCACTCTTTCTCCAGTCCTCTCTTCTCACGCTCTTAATATCGTTAAAATTCATTAAGTTATTAAAAAACATCTAACAAAAAAGACATTGAAAAAGAAAAATTCGCTTGAAGTTCCCCTAACAATCTATCAAAAATAAATCTAGACTCATTTTCTTCTCCTTGTCAGACTCATGTTTTCCTTTTCGTCTTGTATCTTCCATCCTTCGCATCTCCCTTTATCTCTCTCTCTCTCTCTCTCTCTCTCGTACTTTTCCTCTTTCACTCGACGTGCTCGCTCGCACGTCTCCTCATCCTCGCGCGACACAGCGGAGAAGAGGAAACGGGCTGACCCCGTCATGCGCCCGTTCGCCGCTCAATACGTGGCCGCCGATGTCTGATCCTCGTTTCATCATCGTCGTTTCGGGTCTCGCGAACGACCGGCTCCTGCGAGCTTCGTCCTCAAATACTCAGTATACCGTTCGCGAGATTCAAAACCCGATCGACGTCGTCGCTCAACCGTCGCATTCAGCGGCCGCGACTGCGCACGAGGAGGATCACGTCCCGCTTCCCGCTGCGAAGAGTCTGGATCTTCTATCGATTATACATATCCGCGAGATAACGTCCGCGCGCGGGCGAACTCCGTCCTCAGCCTTCCCCGAAAGAAATAAAAAAAACAAAAATGATTAAACACGATATTATACCCTTTCCGACCTTCTGTTCCTCTTAATAGTCGTTTCGCCTTATTTGTGTATTTTTTTTCTTTTTGTACTAAACACATATATCGAATGCCATGTTAGCCGACGAGCCCGAGGACGGGCCCGTCGTGTTACCGGCCGTGGGCGCACCGGTGGGTCCCCCACGTGCCGCCGGTGGAGCGGTCTCGGTTTCGCGCCGATAGGCTCGACGGGTCCCGGGCCGAACGTTTCACGACGAGTGATCGTCGAGTTCGAGATCCGAGTGTTCGAATCTCTGTCGAGCCTCACGTCTTCGACGACGCGTTCTCTCGGCTGACTGTTGACAAGTCGACCCGTCCCCGGCCTGACGGCGCGAGACCGTGCGCGCGCGCCTGTTTAGTCCGTCGTGTTTCTTGAATTTTGTTGGTCACGCTTAACAACTCTTTTGTTGCGGGGGAGGGCGGTTCACTCTTTACTTCTCCTTACTTCGAGTCCGATTTTGTCCGTACACTCTCCTCGCGTTCGATATACTCGAGAGACGCGTGCTGTCGAAATCGCTCGCTCTTTTACTCTCTCTCTCTCTCTCTCTCCCTCTTCGTGCTCGACCTTCACGTCTCCTCACGATCGAACAGTTCGGTCGTGTGCGTCTCTTTCGCCAGTTGTGATCCGCAAAAAACTTCGGAGCTCGCAGACTCGTCGGGACGCGTCGTCGTCGCGCGCTCGCACTGTTTCCCGACGCTCGTCGGCGACGCAGCGCCCGCGCGGGATGAGCGCCGAGAGAATGGCCAACGCGCGCGCGCCGAGCGACATTACGTCACCGTCGCATTTCTCGCTCACCCTCGCCCCCTCTGAGCTCCCTCGATGCTGCTTCTCTCTCATGCCCTTTCCCCCATCAATTCGATCGCGTTAAGCCTAAATTTGTCCGTCTTTCACTTCGTCGTTTTTAATTCCTAATTAGTAATCAATTACTTATCAATTAATAGTTATTAATCAACACACGCACACTCACACACTATTACATTCCTGATAAAGTAAAAATTTTCTCAACCGATTTGTAAACCCCAGTTTGTCTCTCTCTCTCTTTCTCTCTTTCTCTCTCTCTCTCTCTCTGACATACCTTCTTCTTCGTTCGCTCTGTCTCATTCTCTCTCATTCTCGCTCGCCATTCTTCACATGACCGACAGTCGCTTTCTCACTCTCCCCGTGTCCTCGAAACGTTCATCAGCAACGTTCCTCAGAAACTTAGCACAAAACGGCGTCCGTAGCGCACGATGCGCATGTACCGATCCGATACAACGCGCTCGCGCAGTGACTCTCCCTCCTCTTCCGATTTCTGATTTCCTCTTGTCCTCGTCTTCGTCGTTATAAATCATCACTCATGTGCCAAGCGACTCGATGTCTCGTCGGCGCTGTCCTCGACATCCCGATGACCACTCGCCGATGATCTCTCCCCTCCCGGATTCGCGGGTCTGACCCCTCTCTCTCACTCTCGTGGCTCTTGGTGAGGAACTTGAGGCGAATAGAGCGTGCACGACGCATTTCACTTCACTAATACGAAAAAACTCATAGTCGCTTCTTCTTTGGTATTACGTGGTGCGAGGAGGGGCGGGTTGGGGGTGCGCGGGCGGGGGGGCTCACGTGTGTGTCTTCTCCTCTTCTCTCGAAGCATCCTGGCTTTGCTGGTCGAACGACCGGGAACGGTTGGTGCCGTTACGCACGGTCCGCGGTCTCGATTATTATTTTTCAAGTCTACGTTAATTAATCGTCTCGGTGTCTCTGAAATCTGGTATAAAAAACTGCACCTAGCTTTTGTGTTTTTTGTTGCTTTTTTTTGTTAAGAAAAACCGCTTTCCTCCTGTGGTACTATATAATAAGAAGTAAGTAAATAGTATATAGCGATAATAGTAATAGTAGATAATAATAATAGCATTAATGGTAGTAGTAGTTGCAGTAGTAACAAGTAATAACGTAATATAACCATATTACGTAACGTAATTGTTACTAAACTTCTTTGTATATTATTAATAACTTTAATATTAGATAGACTTCTTTTTTTTTTAGATTAATCGGTTTATCGCGCGTCTCNCTCTCTCTCTCTCTCTCTCTCTCTCCCTCCCTCCCTCTCTCTCTCTCTCTTTCCCTCACTCTCACTCTCTCTCTCTCTCTCTCTCCCTCCCTTCCTATCGTTATTAAATCTTTAACCGTAATGCAATGAGGTAATAAGGTTGTGTGTGATTTCATCCATTTTATCCTCTTTCTTAATCAGTTTGTTCTCGTCGTCTTATCCTATTTCATCGGCGGCGGTGGTTTCGTTAGCGCTGTGAAATCGGGTCGTGCGCCTGTCGCTTCGTCGCTGTCGCGGGGCTCGGAGACGCACGCAATGCGCAGAGCGGAGAGGAAAACGACGTTGGTCCTCGCCAACGAGAGAACAATCGAGTATTCATAGCGCTGTTTAACCTATCCGGACAGGGCAGACAATTCACCGGAGGCGTCTCCGTTTGGCGCATGGCGCGAGAGCACGCTAACTTCCCCCCCTGTCTGTGTGTGTGTTTCCCTTCCCCTTTCCCGTGAGAGACGCGAATCCGACCTCGCGACCGTCAACCGAACGCCACGACCGACCGAGGACCCGCGAGGAATCGACAATATTGCGCCCCGATTACCGAATTGGGAGCGTACTTACCGCGCGGAGAATAACGCGTCGTCGGTGCGCGAGAGCGCGAAATGGGAGAGTAGGTCGGTCGTGGCGGACGCGAACCAAACGGAGGGCCCGGCATCGTTGACTTTTTAAATTAACCCTTCTAATCAAGCCCTTGAGTTCATTAGAACCAAAGACCTCGTTTGAGTTCTGGGAATTAACTCTCGGCGTTAGACTGTCTCTTTCTCTCAATCTTTATTTATTTCTTTCTTTCTTTCTTTCTTTATTTATTTCTTTCTTTCT